CGATGACTCTTGGATCTGGGAGGACTACTGCCCACGGCCATTCCCTGAAGCGGAAATCATAGGAACATTTACCGTGTGAGGCACCACAGAAGACCCAATGCACTACGAATTTCATGTTGGGGAGTGCAACTCTCCCTCAGACTTAAACCCCAAAGACATAGCCGCTATGGCTTGAGGGTTGGCCATCTTCAATTCAAATAACAATACAATACATACATTCATGCAATCTTCATGCATAGTAAATGTCGTCCACTTCGTCGACTGAAATTTCCCTTTTACAACGCCTGCAGCCCTCGATGAAATTATGCACCAAAGGATCTGCTTTGGCGCTGTTCCAGCTGTCAAGACGCAGCACCTTTCTTTTGGCTCATGCTGCCCATCGCACATATTGTTGCACCACAAGCTTCAACAATGTTCAATCTGTGTATCTGCAGGTCCGCATGACGTACAAATACAGGCCTCATTTATGTGCTCACTGCTCACTCCTGCTGGTACGGGGCCTGTACTATTCCAAGGTGTACATTCGACAGGTCCAGCAATGGCTGCTCGCTGCTGAGTGCTGGTACACCACCCATCTCGAACTCATATTCGGGCTCAAAAACACATTGTTTGCCCTGTCCAGCCACAGTCTCTCATCAAAAACAAGTTGATTGCCTTCACTTCTGTCCTGCACCATATGTAGAACAGCGTTCCACTTGTTATATCCACTTGCTGTAAGGGAAGAAAACAACAATCAATATTTACTTCCACACAAGATCTGCAATTTGTATGCAAATGTTGCAGTTGAATTCCCAATTGCCATAATTGGCTTTTCACTGCTCTGACGTACTTATGAAGCTATAGTGCTCTTTGAGGTCTAACTGTGTGTTTTTTATGGTCTCACTGCCTCTTTCATATTATTTGACATACGTACATTTTTACTTTATCAACTAGCCTATTTCTTCTATTTTGTATGAATGTTCCTTGTTTACAAGGTGCAGCAGTTAAAGTGACTTAATTACCTGGTATCGGACCGGACTATTTTCCAGTAATGAATGAGTAACAAATTCTTACAACTGGTGGTTTTTCAAACAGCCGTCTGTTTCTGCTATGTTAGACGCACCACATTCGAACTTAGAAGGTCATTTAGGCAAAAGCAATTATGAAACCGCGTTTGCTTTTCCTAGAGAGAGCACCAACTGTCTGATACCCACAAACGATCCGATACGGCGGCAATCACTGTATACACATTTCCATTTCGCTGCAAGGCTTTATCTCAAAATTGGCAAACAACGGTCGATGAACATGTGCACTATTCAGTATCCTCAGCAGGCATGGTAAACGCCACTTTTACTGTACCTGCACAAAACAAGCCTGTCGTAGGGGTGCTCCAGTTTCAAAAGTTTGCCTCCATACTCTTTAGTCACCGCCTTCTTTTTCCCCGCTATACCTTTCTTAATTTTCACAATCTGTGCAACCACGCGAGTATTGTCAGCAACAAAGTCGGCATCTACATTCCCTACACTGACTGTCCTCACATCTGCCGCGTTCACAATGTCCTCTGCGCGACAACAATCAATCAATCGTGATAGCATTGTGCACATGAATTGTAAGGTTTGATCCTTACGCGGACGGTTCTCTTGGTTGTCTGGTGGAATGAAGCCTTCGAGTCAACCCCGGGCGGTCCTTATATACGTCCACTGCCGTGGCCTTGGCAGGCTTGGAGTGAATCCCGTGTCGAAGCCTGTATGTGAATCCTGTACGCAGCTGGCCCAGGCTTCGATCCGTATGTGGCGGTGTTGACCTCTTACATTCTACCCTCCTTTGAAGCAGAGTCCCGGCGGAGAGTCTGTAATGCCAACGTACTACACGCACAACGCACTATGTACACTTCCAACAGCATTCGGTATGTGTTGTTGCTACCATTGCTCATAGCACAACACCAGCTGTTTGCGCATAACTGGCAGGTTACTCGTTTTTTCCCCTGTTCAGTAACGCATCTACTCTGACGTATTTACATGGATTAATTACATACATTATTCGACCAGCTTCAGCTGATCGATATGACAAACCGCACCAAACAACAACAACAACAACAACAACAACTTCAACATAACTCTGGCCCCTGGAGAGATCTTGCTGCCCCGGCGGTGGGTGTCATTATATAACTTGGCTTTGGCCAAGAATATGGCGTGGATAACCGGCTTCAGATTATAATTGTAGTCCAGAACAGCTAAGCTATACTCCATACATGCCAACATTTTTTGAATGAAAAGTGGTAGATCCGCGTGCGACGCAGTCGCGCGCGCCGCTAGGGGGGTCTGGGGGCATGCCCCCCCAGGAAAATTTTCAAAAAATGGTGCTAAATGGTGCCTTCTCCTGCATTCTGGGGAGTAATTGGACTGCAATAGAATACATTAGAGATACATTACATACATTTATTAGAGATAAAATGAAAAAAATGAAAAAAAAGAAGTTTTTTCAAAATATTTTGCAATGCGGTAGGAATAGTATTAAAAGCGGTAGGCGGTAGAAGTCTTCAAAAAGCGGTAGTCTACCGCGTAAAGCGGTAGGGTTGGCATGTATGTATACTCTCTCCGCATGTATATTGTAACGCTGTACGACCCTCGCCCGTAGCACCTAGTCTTTTTTGTCCAAGCTGTATACACCACTACACCAATAACAACGTCATATCGACCTGGACCTGTTACGTGTTCTAAGGGGTTTTCCCGTGGCCCTGAAAAAGTACGCTATACATGCTTCTGAAAATACTGTTGCGGGATGTCATATTTCCGACATTATGTTCTCTCTAAAACTTCCCTATCTACAGATATAATCTCTTTGTGCTACAGTTAGTAAATGAAAATAAACATCTATTCACACTTTACACTATCTGTGTCATAACGAATAAAAAAAACTGCTTGTTTCCCCTGTACTCAGTACGTGTCCATTAGCCACACCTAGTTAGTACATTTATCTCTGTCCGGAGTTCGAACGATCATGTAATAAACATTTTACTAATGATCTCCCGCCAAGCTATCACTTTCATAGTGTATTTTACCGAAAATGGGTCCTGCCATGGGGATGTCTTGTCTCTTCCAACTGTCATTCGCATTTTTCCGTATCTCAAGGTACACATCTGCACCACGTTCGCGAATTCTTGTGAAGTAGTTATCTTGTCGGAGATTATAGGCCCTTCTTGCTAGCGCTTTTCTGTGGAGTTTCAACCCCGGTGGCAGGTCGGTCCTCACACTGTACCCAGAATCCTTCAAATTTCTGCTGGATTTCATAAACAACTCTCTTTCAATCCATAAGGCACACACAACAATGATATGTGTTGCTTTCAAGTCACGTTTCTTCAGCCTGTGGGCATGGCGGATGAATAAATTATTAGCCATTTTGTCGTTCAAAGTTAAGTTCTCCTTTGCAAAGTTACGTACGACTTTGATGGTCTCACTCGGGTCGGTCTCATAGCCACCGACTCCATAGATCAAGAGATCGAATTTCCGTGAGTGCACTTGACTTGCTAGAACAGATTTACGTAGTTCTTCCAATTCGTTCTGTAGGCGACACACATCCTGACTGGTTTTGGTTTGATCTTTTGTAAGCCCATCAACGTCAATCTCTATGCCACTTAGTTTCTCAGTCATGTCATCTACTTTGTTGTTTAGCGTAGCAAAGTTAGCGTTCATGTCTTTGTTGATTTTCTCCAACGTTTTCGGCAAGTCATCCAGCGTGGGCATTTTGACTTTGCTCATCTGCACGCGTTGTCCATGTAGGAGTGGCTGGTTAGCCCGTGTGGTTACCGGATTTGCCGTGTTACTCGTAGATTTTTCTGCTGACTCCGACGCCGCTCGTCTCGGGTTTGGGCGTAATAAATAAGTGGTAATGGCTTCCTGGTCCTTCGGTACTGCTCCTTTACTCATAAATGGATGTTAACTGCACGCACCCGTGTGCTCTGGTGGGTAGCCGACAACTATTGATCAAAACGAGTACTTAAAATTACCGACATTGTCCCAATTCATTCCTATCATGTCTGCACATCACTAGTTAACTTTATACAGAGTCTACTATCCCTTTAAAAAGCATGAGCACTAATCAACGAGTGGAAAAACGCAAAGCTGGTGAGTCTTTCTCTTCCGGTGGCGCTGCAAGGGACACAGATTTTAAAAGGAAACTCAACTAAGCATTAGCTGATCCCATTAGGATGTAAAGCACCCGTCCGTTATACTAAAATTTAGCTTTTTTCTTAATTTGTTCTTTTGGGCGAACATGAAAACTAGCTAACTTTAAACCTGTGATCAGAACCAAGCAGTAGGATGTTTTTTTTGTCAATATGGGGCCTAAGCTGACAGCTAAAGCTAGGTAAGCTGGAAACAGACCACTTAACAGTCAATAGTATTTGTAGCTGAAAACAAGCTTTTTCCATACTCTAAATGTACAGCAGTCGAGTAACAAAGAGTCTACTGGTAACAAATAGTCCTACATAATACGTAACTGTAGATTTCTAAGTGAGAATGATAAAGAAATAGGCATTGCGCCAATTATTAGCCAGGGTTTTAATACATACTGCGCTTGCGTCATTTTGTATGCTTCAGTCATCTAGAACATAAAATATATGATATACAATACTCTCGGCACAAAGACATATAACAGATAGTCTTTAAGTGCATTGTGCTATATTTGAAGCAGTATCCCATAATGTGTCCAGAAATACTGATCTGTTACTTTAGACTTATTAGTACGACTTAGAGTATTACTCTCGTCACTAAAGGCAAAAGCAGACTAATGCATGAGTGCATTGTTGGATGTCTGAAGTGGTTCGCTTTAATGTGTCTGCATTTAATTAATGTGATGATGACAATGAAATTTTAACTTAAGCCAGTGTCCTATTACACTTCGTGAGGACAAACTCTTCAGTCAACCTGCTACAAAAAGCTCTGCGCATCGCTAAACTCATTACCTTGCCTAGCGAGATTGACGTCTGCATCAGCCACTTCGACGTCTTGCTCACTAACCGCGTCATCCTCCTTGGTTTAGATATGCATTTCTGTAATGTATATTAAAATTAAGTGTTAATCACAACAACAGAAGTGGAAAGGTCTGAAGGTAAATGAAGAAACGAGCATGCATTAACACACAAGTTGGATGGATATCCAGCAACCAGGCAAATTTGTAATTAATAACACTTACTGCTCACGTCGATATCGGCCAGATTTTTAACTGTCCCAGCTCTCCACCGTCAGCCGCCATTATAAGCCGCCCTACTTTTGCTATCTCCACAACGGCATCATGCTGGCGATAGTGCTTTTTATGTTGTGCACCAAGTGGTGCGCAAGCCATTCCAACTCCGTTGATTCCAAATCTAGCAACTGCTAATAGCAAAAAATGTGTACAGTATGGTACACGGTAAATGCATGGTACATATAAAGTATGGTTAACATACCAGCCCTTAAATTACATAAGTTAGAACTGGGATGACACTTCGAGGAATCTTTAGTGCAAAACGCAGTATGCCAAAGTTGTTTGGTTTGGGCTTTAATATGATCCGAAGGGGGATAGGAGGATCCGATTTTATAACTCTCTGACTAGCCTTGCGAAATTCGTTGATTCAAGATGACAATCGCCATGGTTATCACATGTGTTCAAACCGTCCACCCCTTCCTTCCCACATATTCAACCGAATAACCCACCCATCAATAATGTATACGATACAAATTCAACAAGTTGCCATATGCCTGGCATCTGAAGTACACCCCTTTAAAGTTTTTATAACACTCCCCAACTCTTGGTAAAAAGTGCATCACGGTAAGTGTTCCCCTGTGAGAAGGAATTGCAGCTCAAACTAGTAACTGTGACACAGGATTGCAATCAACATTTATGCATCTTATTCTATTATGTATTTAGACTGATGTATAATAAAGATAACATATCAAACAATGCACACACCTGACAGACTGTCGCTAGATACTATATCAATCGGCTTGAGGATATCAAGCTTGGGGATTTGCAGCCCGCTGCTTTTGCCAACTTATTGAGAACTTGCTAGCTGTGTAGGTGCAACAACCTACATTTAGCGAAGACGTATGGGTTGTCCTTTTTTAATCCACATGTTTCCCTTTGACGAACCAATTCATCAATCGCGTTTCGCCAACGTTTTGACGCCAAGTTCCGTTGTTATGTAGGACTTGTGCAAGGTGGTCATCAACCGGAGCACTGCGTCGTCGATTTCTACATAATCAGGAGAGAAGTAAGAGAAACCTTGCCTTTATGCACTTGCTCGTGGTGTGGTACAATCTCTTGGTTTCTTTTGTGCTCGCCTGCTTTTTTGACCAGTTACCAGACACAGGAAAATGCCACCTCACTCTGTGAGACAACACCATGTCGAAGGGAATAATTTTCGTTCTGTGTCAGAATTGTACCTCGCATGACTTGCATTCCTTTGATAAGAATTCCAGGAGGAAAGGGTTGTCGTTATGGTGGAGTGCCGTATATGGTGTCGACTGGCTTTTTGGAGGCGTAACCTGGTTGTGTCTTGCTGGTCTATAGGTGAACTTGTTTCACCCACCTTTTTTCCCGCCACATGAAGATTTACATTAGCTTCTGCCAACGCTGTTTTGTTTTTACCCTTTTTCTTCCTAAGTAGAAATTTGAGGTGTTCCGTGAGGATCCCCGCAAGGTCTGCTACGGCAAGAGAATGACAACAGATGTTGTAATGCCTGTATCTGCCACAGCTGCACCCAGCATGGTTGGAGTACACTGTGACTTCCACCCTTCCATTTTTGCAGTGTCGATGCGACTTCGAAGCGGGTATTACCTGCCTTCTCCAAGGTTGGTTCACGCTGTACTGCATGTGGATGGTTAAGTAATTCTGATACCTTTGTTTCTATCGTGTCAGCATTCTCTCTGGTATAGCCATACTCATTAAATAAGTTCATTCGGTTGGTAGAATAATATAAATAACAAAGTTAATTTTTACTCAACCGTGCTGGTTTGAAACGTACCGCTGACGTTTCGCCTCCTGTCCGTAAGCTTTCTCAAAGCAATAAACTTTGTTATTTATATAGGCATACTGCTGTTCAAGCCATTAGTTCCGGTTAGTACTAGCGTTCCTGAATTCCGTAACATTCTGTGGTTCCACTGTATGTCTTTCTATTTCTTTCTTCTTTGAAACCTCTTCAATACTTATGACATTCAGTTTTGCAACGTATTCTTCCCTCTCATCTGTTCCCTAGTCAAACCATTCAGCTGGCACAGCAAGATATTGGGCGTCGTCTGTTGGTTGATATTCCTCACTCAGAAAAGCAACTGACAGAGCAAGCTCCTCTTGCTGTCGCAGGTGTATGGTTTTTAACACATGCTTCGTAAACTGGAGTTTACTCAGACTACGAACAGTGGGGTTCGACTTCAGGAACGCAGACTTCTCGCTTCTCATCATTTTTTAACGAAAATCTAATTATTACTAGTTAATGAGATAAGAATCTGATTTGGATGACCGCTGTCCTAATTTGCATGTTTCAGGCTCTGGTATAGTTACATATTATAAATTATTTAAATGTGATGATTACAATGTATAAAATAAACATTTTACATCTTTTTAGATGTTATATGACATTTTCCTACATTGTTTATCACTAATAATCCTGATATATTCAAACTAACTAAAATGCGGATTTACGAGGAAATTCGAGGGCGCAGCGTGCTAAATAGCAGGTCATTTTTGTTAACGAGCCCTTAGCTATCGATTAAGACAATTCGCGAGTAGATTGATGCGGCAGAACGTGAGATCGGCGATTCGCTCGAAAATGCAGTAGATGTACTTTTTTGGATGAGGGGGTGGGGGCGATGCCTGTGTTAGCGTGGCACTGCGTGCCAATCATCGGGTTGCACCCATCACACGCCCGTCACGTCAAGTAAATGCCCTCTAACCGCTCGAGCTATCGCCTTTCCACTTAACACGTGCCCAACGATATTTTGAGCATACACAAGTTTAAGCAGTTCTTGCAGACCTAATCCTGCCCTGATGTAGCCAATGCTTTCAAGAAAGGTCATCTCCATGTGGAATCCCCCTAGATGCAACATAATAGTGTGTAGATCACTATCGGGCTGTAAATTGTCAATGATTTGCTGGTCCTTCCACCATAACGGTTGGTCAAATGTCGGAATATGATGGCACTGGTGACGTCTTGCCAGTGAACAAACAAATTTGAGTGTTGAATAGAGGCAGCTCATGTCGCTTGGATTCATAACTATCATTGGCAAGAGTGTGACGGATGATTTCCCTGGATGACTTTCTTGACTGACAGCCTGCATCATGCCTGGCCTCCCCGGTCTAGGTGAACGGATTGCCCAGACAACTTTCCAAAGAAGTTTTAGCTTCCACGAGGGATCACTGTACCAGATAGTAGGTAGTTCCAGATAGACCATGGATAACATACCATTGAACGGTTTGTTGTAGTAGTGTATGTCAATCTTCTCGACAGCAGCAACATCTTTGGCGGTTACAGATATCCTTGGTACTAGTCTTTTTCGTTTCATCCCAGGTATCAGGGCTGCGATGAACCCCATGCCATGAAAGGTGTCCAGTCCCTCTAGTGTCCTGACATTATGGTCGGCATTATCTGCCACATTTTGTACAAAGTAGCCTGGCGTAATACTAGGGATGTCAGTGCCTTGTGAACTTACTGCACACATTTCAAATCTTTTCACTTCAGAACAGGTGGCACAAAAACCACTGCTGTTCAGGGAATCAATGGGGAACTTTGATCCGAAGAGGTGATGCATCTGAACTGCAAGACCAATATGCAGTGGTGCTATAAGAACTCTGGGTCGGGCAGCTTGGGCAATACTTTGTCCTATTAATGCAACCTTCAACTCTGCCTGCTCACTGAAAATCGTCCCCAGCAGAAGCTGCAAAGACTCTGGTAGAAACTTATTGTTTTTATCGATAGATGCTATATTTTCAGGAATATGGTATGCATCTTCAGAGGTAGCCATGCATTTGATGTCATTCTTGATGAGATCTGCAGCTGCTTTAACAATCCACATTTTTTCCAGCTTTAGCATCTGTTAATTTTGGGACATCATAGAAGGCTTGAAGAATTAATGCTGCTGTGGTCCTGAACGTTACTACATCAGCCTTACCACTTATGTTGGTAATAACAATGGAGTTGCCAACGTATTCTTCAAGTCTCCTCTTCATATGTTTCATAGCGAAAGCTTCTGAATCATTCTTGCAGTGCTCATGCATTTTCTGTGCAAGATCACTAACAGTAATCTGCTCGTCATCATTTTCTTTTAGATATTTAACCTACGAATGCAGCTTTACTTTGCTTTTGCTTTGCTTTGCTTTGCTTTGCAGTTTTACGAGTTTTGCTTTACGAATGCAGTTGAGTCATCAGGGGTAAAATGACAGGTTGGATACTTGGCTTTCGCATAATTATCCAGCTTTAGCTCAACCGTTCCATTCAGTATGTTCCCAACATCATAGCCAACTGTGAGCTCATCTGCACAAAATACAAAAAATTCTTTGTACAGCTAAGGGAAAAAAATTGGCATTAAGGCCACTGCAAAAAAAACCTTGTTTCTCAGGCGAGGAAAATTGCTAAAATTGGTAGGCATGCCCTGGAAGGAGCAACTCACTTGGTATTGTCCACAAAATTCGGCCGGTTGTTTTTTAAAATGATACAAATGATACAAATGATAAAATGATACAAATGATTAAAATGATACAAATGATACAAGATGATTTAAAATGATAAAATGATTAAACTGTATTTAAGCTCATATTGACTCACCATGTGCATCCACAGTTTTGTCATCAGCTGCACGCACTGGAACATCAGCAGATTCATTGTCAGACAGACTTGTAGATAAATCAGCAGTTTTGTGAACAGTTGCAGGTGCCGAAACATCAGCAGTTTCATTATCAGACGGACTTGTAGATAAATCAGCAGTTTTGTGAACAGTTGCAGGTGCTGGAACATCAGTAGTTTTGTGAACAGTTGTAAGAGATTGGTATAAGGTCAGTTTGAAAACCATACAATATCGAGGTACGCCGCAGAATGTTTCGCCAGTCAATACAACCGAACAGGGAAGATAGCCCATATGCAACGACCAAAGAAGACCGGATAGCAAGATATGGCCTTGCGCAAAAGATTCGTTGTTCCCCGACCGCCGAAAGCGGTTAAAGCCGCGCACAAGAATTCCGCGGGGACTGGGCCACGCGACCGCGGATTTAACCCCGCTATAAACGCATTCGCGGGCGCCGAGGAAGGCGGGGCGCGCGAATGCGTAATAGGCGGGCAGCCTACACTGCACTGTAGCTTGCAAGCGTTTCAATAAAATGTAAATGCTAATAAATACAAGTCACGGCGGCGCAAAACTCCCCGAGCCAGCTCACGTGAGCGCGGGGGAGGAGGAGGCTGGAAAGTGCCCCCCATGTAAAAACATGCCACGGCCACGCCAGCACGTGCTTCGCACGAAGCGTGGCCGTCGCCACGGGCAGCGCGGGGATCAGAGGACATATCAAGAGTTGGGCTACTTGCATATCGCTTGGAGTTACTAATCCGCGCAACCGAAGCAATTATCAGTGTAAACAACCATCAAATTGAGTCAGGCCTGCGGGGGAACTAAGATGGCTTGGTGTGTAAAAATTCCTGTGGAAAATCGCTCGAAGAGAGGCCTCGTCGCGCCATCTATGGACGCAAAATATGTACGAGAATAACTTCAGAGTTATTCAAATAAAATAATAAAAGTAAATTCGAAATCGCTTCTAGAGAAAAAACTAACGCGCCAAACGCAGCAAGTTTTACCAATTACGAGCATTTGCATTTATTCATCCGCCCTACTGCATAAGTCGAAAAGCTTCTGCAAGCGCCACAACTCCTGGACAATTGACCAATAAGAGGCCGATCTGACAGCTAAGCCGTTAAATTGATATTGACAGAGCAGCGATTTCGATTAAAAAGGCGGCCACGAGGTGGGCGCGTCGCGGCTTACGCGCGATAACCGGGCTGCAGACTGTCAAGAACAAGCTAAAAGAGAAACTGGACAAGCTAGGAAACAAGAAATTGTAGCTCGTGTCGACAGACAACAGACTGGGTCAACAATCTATGATTGTAGAGAAAAAGACGGTT